GGTACATCGCTGGCCCGAATCCAATCCACAACGTGGAGATGACGTCTAGGCATCTACCTCGGCACGACCAACGATCTCTGCCAGTACATTTGCGGCCACTCGGAAGCGCGCATTGTCGTCTGTGACAGCGTTGCGCAGCTCGAAAAGTTCATTGCGATGAAGCCGTACCTGCCACGGCTCATGGCCCTCGTGCTATATGGCAAGCGCGTGCCCACGACCCTCCGGTCGCCGATTCCCGTGTACGGCTGGGACGCCTTCGCGATCCTCGGCGACGACATCACGCGGGGTACACTCAAGCGCCGCATGGAGAGCGTCGAGCCGGGCCACTGCGCAGCCTTGGTCTACACGAGCGGCACGACCGGTCTCCCCAAGGGTGTCATGATCTCCCACGACAACTTTTGCTTCAACGCATGGTGCATGGACAAGAGGTACTTTTATATGTTGTTGGCAGGAGACCCTAACCGCGACGGTTTCGGGTAGCATTGACCGCGACTACCACACGCGCTTGAGCAACCGCGACGTGCTCGTGTCGTACTTGCCGTTGGCACACATCACGCCGCAGCTCAACGACATCATCTTGCCCCTCGTCATTGGCTACGAAGTTCACTTTGCTCATCGGGACGCACTCCGTGGCGGTCTCGGCAAGATTATCAAGGAGATTCGCCCGACACGCTTTTGCGGTGTTCCGTACATCTGGGACAAGATGGCCATCAAGATGCGGGACCTGCACGGCAAGTCGCGCGGCCTCAAGAAGCAGCTCGTGCACTTTGCGACGTCGCGTGCGATCAAGAAGACGCGCATCTCGCAGTACGGCCAACACGGCGGGCCGCCCTGCGGTGTCGGGATCGCTGAAAAGCTCGTGCTCTCGCGCGTCAAGGCCTCGCTGGGCCTCGACCGGTACGACGAACCGCCTTGCACGCAACGCACGTATCGTGGTCGATTGTAGCTGCAAGACATTTTCGGTCACGTCGGCGCCGCTCCGGTCCGAGACCCTCGAGTTCTACGGCGGGCTCGACATTCCCATCATGGAGTTTTTCGGTCAAACCGAGACAGGCGGCTTGGCAACAATGAACGTGCTGCACTGCTGGAAGATGGGTCCGCCTCTCCAAAACTATCTGCGTCCCAACTCATGTACTACTATGATACTAGGCTCGGTGGGTCGACCACTCCTCGGGACAGAGATGCGCGTTACCAAGGACTCGCACGAGCTGCTCTTCCGCGGCCGGCACGTCATGATGGGCTACCTCAAGCGCGACCAAGACACGAAAAATGTGATCGACGAAGAGGGCTGGCTCTACTCGGGCGACACGGCTGTCATCGACGAAGATGGGTTCGCGACGATCACGGGTTCCATTCCCGAGACGATCCGGACCGCCGGTGGCGAGCGGATATCGCCGGTTGCACTCGAGAACATTCTCAAGGCCGAGATTCCCCTCCTCTCGAACGTCATGGTCATTGGCGAGCAGCGCGAGTTTCTGCTGGCACTCTTTACGCTCAAAGTACGACACACCACGAATGGGCCCAGTGTACCCTAACCCTATGGTCTGTAGGTGCTCGTGGACGAAGAGGGTCGCCCGACGCCGACGCTCGAGGACGACGTGCGAGAAATGTGTGGCGTCCTCGGCTCCCGGGCGAAGACGGTCGACGATGCGAAGCGCTGCCCCAAGGTCCAAGCATATTTGGACGACCGGCTCGCGGATGTCAACAAGACGACGAGCCAGCTCTTTTCGTTTGGCCACTACATCGCCAAGTATGCGATCCTCGACAACGACTTTAGCGTCGCGGGCGACGAGCTCACGCCGACGCTCAAGCTCAAGCGGTCGCGTGTCCTTGAAAAGCACGCGGCAGTCGTCGACGCCATCTACGAGATGTAAATTGTATTTACCGTTGGATATCAAAGTTTACACGTGGATGAAAGAATGGTCTTGTTGACGCGTCGTCTGTGTGTGTAGTCTCGAGGACGGATCGCTCGTGCACGAAATGATCGTCGTGTGAAGAACGCAGTCGCCAACAAGATATGCTGGGATGTTAGAGCTTTTTTGTATAGATTTTGTAATTTAGAGAGGGTTGTCGTATCAACGACGGCACCGGTACATGCACCGTCTGCGCTCGAGTGACGCCAGTGTTCGACGTGGGATTGACGAGTGGGATCGTGCTCATGTGGCATTGCGGCAAGCGCTTGAATGTCGGCTTGCACCGGATCAGATATGGACATGAATACCGTGGGACGTCGAGCGCATGGCACACAGAACTGGCTTTCGCATCCCGATATTCAACTTGGCGCGTCGATCTTGCAATTGCTTTGCAGCATGCGACAACATGTCTGCATGATCGTGTATGGACTTGATTTGTCCATGCCTTTGGTGCGGCTAGGGTTGGTCGTCCGAGCGACCAACACAAGGTTCTATCTCTATCGATCGAGGCACGTGGTGAAGATGTCTGTCATTGGGATGTATATTGTCATCGTCTTTGGAGCGCAGTGTCGTACTAAAAGTATCGATCATGCAACCTTGGTCGACCGCTTGATGATCTTGCGGACCGCCTCGCGCTTCGTGTTGGTCGGGTTGCGGTACTTGATGTAGACCGTGTAGACGTCGTCGAGACGGGTGTGGTGATGAAAGTGGTAGAGCTTGAGGAAATCGCTGTGGTCGAGGGCGTAGAAGGTCTGGATAAACATGTACGAGACGAGGAGCACGATATGATCTTCCTGCCAGAGTCCAAAATGGGTTACAAACAAAGCGACGGTGGGCAGGCCAAGCTCGAACGCAAAGTCGATCGGGTCAAAGATAAAGTTGGACGAATGCGTCGGCGCAAAGACGCAGTGGTGCATCAAGTGAATATGCGGCAGCACCTCGTGGAGGCACTTGTGCGCAAAATAGAAGACGACTTCGGTCATGGCCAAGTTGGCGGCAATCGCTGCGACCGTAAAGACCGAGTACGAAGCCAAGTCCAAGGTCGCGTTCACGGCCTTGGGACCGCTAAACTTCTGAAAGACGAGCCACGTCATGAGAACGTTCGAGAGCAAGTTGAAGAGCATCATCTGCAGTGTGTAGCGATCCGAGAAACCGTTGGCGCGCAGTGTGCGGACGTTCTTGCCCAAGCTTGGGTTCACCAGTCCGTCGAGGGCCACAACACACATGTACGTGAGCGCGTAGAGGAGACAGCCGGCAAAGCCCATATCGTTGTTGAGGAAAACAAAGTGTCCGACCTGGATTGAGGCCACGGTCAACACAAAGTAAGGGAACCCGGCGAGACAGGCCAGTGGCGGCGTCTCGTCTGGCGCGTACACGACGCAGTCCAAGACCCCCGACTCGATGGCCATGGTGGGGGAGGTCTTCTTGGTCATGGACAAGTCGATCGGGCGAATCGTGCCGTTGAGAACCATCGTGCGACGATACGGCAAAGTGCAAAGTGATCGATCGTCAACGGGTGGTGCAATCGCAGAAGACAGGCCGTCCAACGAATTTGTAATCGCTTTTCTTGTCGAGAAGTAATCGCAAAACGCACGGTTGTGATAGCTTGAAAGCCCGCCCTGGCAGATGATTGTTTGTTTTGTGGATCTGAGCGGAACACGAAGCAGTGCCTTGGGTACGGCGAGGTGGAGTGCTGTAGTTCAGCGGAAGCGGAGAAGGGTGCCTAGATCTTGCCCGCGCGTCGAATGAAGAAAACAAATGAAGCGGTTGGCACGGTATAAAAATCTGTACGAGTGCCAACCGCGTCATAGACGCGTGCACGGGTCTGACGAGTCTGGAACGATCGCGACGATCCACAGCACCCAAGTGCATGGATGATTGCCGTCAAGGCCATTAATAGTAAGTGTCACTCGACTGCACGATCGCTTTGTTCAAGCGTCCAAGCAGGGCGATCTTCGCCAGTGTCTAGATCAACACGAATGGCCGCACCGGCACCTTGGCACGCGGATTGCGCTCCCGTCTCCGTCCACCGAGACCACGCCCCTCAACCGAGTGCATGAAACACTGCTTTGCTGCTGCATGTACAGTATGTACGCACTCACATGGACTACTCTTTTGCACTTGCGTGCCTAGATTATATTCTGTTGTCATGGCGCGTGGCGTTCGTTGGGTGCCTGCGTAGGTCCAGTCGACGGACGTTCTAGCTCGACTGTTTAAAGTTGTGCTCTGGACGGCTTGTGCACAGAAGTGGACGCTTCTAAAATGACATTCATCTTGATAACAACTAGGCATGCTTGGCCGGGCGCTGCATGATCTTGCGCACGGCCTCGAACTTGGTATTGCGCGGGTTGTGGTACTTGATGTACGCCGTGTACATGTCGTCGAGTCGTGCGTGGTGCTTGAAATGGTGCAGCTGGAGGAAATCGCTGTGGTCCAACGCATAGTACTGCTGCACAATCATGTACGAGACGAGGAGCACGACATGATCTTGCTGCCAGAGTACGAAATGGTTGACAAACAAGAACGCGGTGGGCATGCCAAGCTCGAAGGCAAAGTCGATCGGGTCAAAGATAAAGTTGGTCGAGTGCGTCGGGTAAAAGCAGCAGTGGTGCATCAAATGAATACGTGGCAGCACCTCGTGGAGGCACTTGTGCGCAAAATAGAAGAGCACTTCGGTCAAACCAATGTTGGCGGCAATCGCTGCGACCGTGTACGGCGAGTACGACCCGAGACGCAAGGTCGAGGCAACCGCGTCCGGACCGCAAAGCTCTTGGAAGACGAGCCACGTCATGACAACGTTCGATATCAAGTTGAGCGACATGCGGGTCGCAGTGAGCGTGTCGGAGAACCCGTTGCAGCGGAGCGTTTGGAGGTTCTTCCCGAGGCTCGGGTTGGCAAGGCCATCGAGCACAATCGAGCCAAACGAGAGAAGCGTGTAAATCACGCAGCCGGTAAAGCCCATGCCGTGGAGCCACACAAAATGTCCGAGCTGGACATGGGCAATGGTCAAGATAAAGTACGGAAACCCAGCGAGGGCATGCAGCGGCGGTGCCTCGTCAGGGCCATAGACAAAGACGTCCAAGAGGTGGGCCTTGTGTGTTGAAGCCATGGGAAAGTGCAAAGTGAGCTGTGCTGGCAACGGTGTCATGGACGACGTGGGACCACCCGTTGGGCCTAAGGCACCGCGCATGTCCTTGCGCAAGCCTCGTACCCGTTAGAGACGGTGCGATGCAGATGCTACCTCCATCGTCCAGGTAGTACTGTACTGTCAACGTACACACCGCTCATGACGGTGGGATACTCTCCGAACACGGTACTGTACTGCAGGATGCGACGGAACAAGAGCGAAGGCTGCGCTCACATATTGATCGAAAAGGCGATGGACTCCGGCGCTTCTCGTGGTGTCGACGCTGTGGTCCTAGCCCAAAGGCGGCCTCGAAGCACACGCGCGAGACGGCCGAAGACTTTATGTCGAGTGAAAAATCGAAGCCGCCCCGTGGGCTGTAGCCATGTGGGCTCTGTCGTGGCACGATCGGAGATGCGCGTAAAAGAATGCGCAAAGTGATATCGTTCGGTACGTAAATGCGACCAAATCCCTTGCACGCACTTATTCCAGATCAAGCCGTGCCGTGCGATTTCCAGCACATTTTTTAAATGCAAAATGCTATGTCGACGAGGTCGACTGGCAATGCGAAAACTGGAAGTAGAAGTTGCCTATGGTGCCACGTCGACCCGTTGTCGCGTCGGAAATGCGAAGTGCATACCGGAAAGACCGGGACATGTGCCGTAAGGAGTGCTCTAAAATCCTTGGGAATTCAAACGATGTCGGAGCGAAGCTGTACCTCGTATCGTTTGACGCAGTAGTCGTTTCTGATGCAGTATGCCACCAACGATTTGTCCGACATCCGAAACGCAACCGTGTACACTGGCAGGTTGGCCGTCCAGTGTCCTTCAAACCCTGTCCCGCTTAAAAAGACTTGAGGTTTGTATGCGTGATACAAACCACAAGTAATTCAAGGTAACCACGGTACCGGTTCCGTCAAAGATCCATCCACGATTCCTTCTACAGGTTATTGTAGCACTATGCAATCGCGCTCATAGGACAGGTTGACATTTGCTTGCGTTCAACGTGTCGTTGTTGCGCTAGGATTGCACTTGAAGTTGGTTTTTTCCCGGTAGTTTTACCCGCGCCTTCTGGGCCAACAAAAACTGTTAGCAGTTGAAACCAACCATACTTAAAAGAACACAAAAGGCGGGAGCAGCCACGAGCAGCCAGCGCCATGTCGATCCTCTTGTCTTGGCTCCGTCCGACGCCATATCGCCCGATGGGTGACCCACCGTCCGCACGCTACCCCGTGTGGCTCAACGCCCTTGGTTTTACCTATGTGCTCTTCACCGTGGGACTTAGCATTGGTATCATGTACGTCATGTCGACCTACCTCGCCAACGACTTGTTTTGGCCCGACTTTGTCGTCAGTGGAATGCAAAATGCGATCATCGACTTCTTCAACAGCCGCCTCGTCCTCAACGCCACGTCGCTTGAGCTCCTCAACCCGGCATTTGCTCCACCCACACTCTATGACAACTCGGCCATGACGCTCAGCATTTACGAGGCGTACCCACGACTGGTGCTCTACGCCGAGCTCCAGGCGATGGAGAAAGCGATTGCGAGTCTTCGGGAGCTCCTCGCGACCGAGGTGACGCACATGATCACGCAGTACTGCTGGGTCGACTTGCAGCAGCGCTGGGAACTCGGCCACTCCCGCAAGCGTCAAGCACGGTGCGTCGCCAACGACAAGGCGAATGCAGCCGTGTACCTCGAAGCCGTCGGGCGCAACATTGATTTTGGCTCGTGGGTCCCGATCTACCGAGGTTTTTTTAACAATTTGATTGTGAGCGCGCTCGTCCGATCGCCGGGCGGCTACCCGTGGGTGCAATACATGCTGTCGCACGCGTGGGTACCGATGCCAGACGAAGTGGCCTTTTGGAAATCCCATCAGCTCACGTACTTTGAGCTGCAGTGGAGCACGATTCGCCAAACCGGTTTAACCGAAACGATTGGCATTGAGAATGCGCTGGGGATGACGACGCGCGTGACGATCAAGCGCATTACGCCCGTGGACCGCTACGCGCTCTGGACGACCCACTCGATGTACGCGTCGTTCGAGAACGACCTGGGCAACTTTCACTTTGGTCCGAACCAGAGTCTGGTTCTGAACAGCCCTCTCTGGTTTGGGTACACGCTGCCCAATGCCATCGAAATGTACAACCTCCCGTACCCGCTCAACCACGCCAACACGGCGCTGCACAACCAGCTCGGCGAACTCGGCTCGGTCGACCTCAAGCTCATGCCGCCTCCTCCCGCACTCACGACCGCTGTCGAGGCCTTCGTCGCGCAGTTGACGCTCCAGACGACCACGAGTGCATCACTGGCGGTGGCCGTCGCGAGCATTGGTGTCGTGGATCTGCGCCCGACGCCGGTCCAGTGGCAGAATCCCAACTTTATGTTTTATGGCGGGAGCCCCATGTGCGCCGACGGGGAGCCATATGACTTTATCCAAAGGTCCTTTGGCTTTGACGACACGTGCGCGGGCCAGCTGCCGTTCACCGTGCAGTGGGCGGCCCCGAGCTCTCTCTTTGCGTTGGCCCAGCTCTCGCCAAATGACCTCGCAGTGGCCACGGCGTCTCTGTGTAGCAGTCTAGCGCTACCTGCTACCGACGCCAGCATCTGCACGACATCCCTCGCGGCATCCCTCCGTGCCTTTCGCCAGCTCCAACTCGCATCGCCATCGTCTACGCTGGCCGCCAGCGTCACCGCCCTCAACCTCTCGACGATGCAGTTTGTGCGTGCATCACCGACGGCCAACACCTCGGTGATGACGCAACCTCTTCTCGACGTGACGAGCCCGGCGTGGACTCTTTTCGGGTGGATGAGTCTCTTTGAGTGGGCACTGGGCCAGCGCGAAGCGGTTGCGTTCGAAGGCGACGTCCAGACACTCCGTCTTCTCTCGTACAAGTATACGCCGGCGACGCAGCTCGCGAATACGCTCGACGTCAGCGGCAGCCTCGCCAACTACATGTGGGGCCTCGCGTGGTACGTGAGTGCCGGCCTTTGCATGGTGTTGAGCTGCGTCACGGTCGCTCTTGTGCTGACGCGCCACCACGCGGGCCTCAACTGGTTCATGTTCAACCGCATCGCCAGCACGGTCTGGATCGGCCGACCGATTCTGCTGGTCCGATCCGCCACCGCCATTGTCTGTCTCGCCACGGTACCCATATACTTGGAGCCGCAAGGCAACGCGTCGACTCGGTTTGTCGACTCGACGCGGCCGGTCCTCGAGTCGACGGTCCTCGCCGGCGAGACGCTCTGGCTGTCCTATGTCCTCAACGAGGTCCTCGTGCATCTCTCGGGCTCCAATACGCGGCGCGTGGCGCCTCTGACGTGTGCACTCGTGTACGTCGCGACCGTCTGCGTTGACGTGATTTCTCCGCCGACGATCGCCACGCACATTGGTCGAGAGTGCCACCTGCAGCACATGGATATCAACGTCGCTTGCCACAGCGGGTCGGTTCAAATCGGTCTGCTTTCCCGCGTCGTGCTGTTAGCAGCCATGCACGTAGCCGGTCAGCTGACGTGCTTGGGTATCTGCTACATGTGGCGTGCTTCGTCCGAGAAGACGCCGACGGTGCTCTTGCACGGCGCAGCGATTGCATTTCTGCACAAACCGTCGTCGTGCCCACCTGGGTTTTGGGCCATTGACGACATCAGCGCCGTTCTCTGCGGCCTCGTGCGGTACCAACGCTCGCATGTCTTTGACTTGCTCAGCGACGAGACGCTTGGCTATCGCCACACGTCCGAGGCATTATTGCTGCCACACTCGTTGGCGCCCGCGTACCTTGAAACCAAAGCCGTTGCGGCCAAGACAGCGTCCAGTGACGCCAACGCGGTTCTGGTACTGGCCAAGCGCGATGCGTGGTCGCGATTTGTAAAGAAATACCTCCGCGTGGGCTTCCTCGTCGGCGGGTTTCTCTACATTCTTAGCTCACTCTTCAGCAACATTGCGTACATGACGGTGACGGTCACGCAGAGCCTTGCGAATGACTTTTACTGGCCCAACTTTAACAGCTCGGGCGGCCATACGTTTCTTGCCAACCTCTTCAACACGCAGCTCCTCCTCCGCAATGCGCGCAACCTCTCGCTCAATGCACCGTTCCTTGGCGACGTGCGCCAGTTGTACAATACAACGGTGACGACGATTCGATTTCCCGAGACGATGGGCCGGCGGCAGCTCTATGCGCCCGACAATTCGCTCGTCCATGCGGCGCGGGACCTCCGCAACATGCAGTCGTGCAACGCGCCGTGGATGTTTACGCAGTACTGCTGGCTCGACCTGGAGCAGCAGTGGCATATCGCGAGCTCGTCCTTGCGCCAAGCGCGCTGCGACTCGCACGCATCGAACGGCGCCGTGTACCTCGAAACCGTGCTCCGGAATCTGCAGAGCTACGACGAGTGGCGTCGCTGCTGGGGCGACTCGTACGACATGGCGATTGTTCGAACGCTGCAGCAGTCGGACGCTGGAAACGAGTGGCTGCGCAGCGTACAGGGGCCGCAGCTGAGCCTTCTGGACGAGGTCGCGCGCTGGACGGCACGTGGCATCACCCGCTACACGCTGCAATGGCAAAGCTTCAAGACGCTTGGCCTCGCGACGCCTTTACCATTCGAAACGCGCTCAGTCTCGAGTACGAGCTATCGCTGGCCGAC